ATGGACTGCAATCCCCATAAATTAAACAGTAAATTATTTTCTGTGAAGTTATTTCAGCCTTGTATTTCTACAGCATGCATGTCTGGGACTCTTTCCTGGATGCTTCCTAGATCCAAAAATCTGGACCAATTTTCCCATTTCTCGTGAGCCTCAGTTCCTTTATTTTTCTCTCTCCCTCAAAAAAAAAAAAAAAAAAGCCTGCTTAGTAGAACACTTGATTTCTTCCTCAGTAAATGCCTTGGGTATGTCCTGATATATCACACTCCCTTGTGTCTTCTTCTCTTTCATTAATAGTATAAAAATGATTGAAAGTTAAAACATGCAGAAATAAGGTTTTGTTAAAGTACAGAAATTCTCAGAGGATGTGTATAATCATTAGAAACTGATTACAGTAGCTTGGCTTACACTTGTAGGTCTTATATGAGTTCTGTGCCACTTCTTTCTAGATTTGCTTGAGTTTGCTTTTACATGGGTGTAAAAGCTTTTTACTGTGTGTGAGTAGGCTGGTGGTCATGAAGCAAAATTATCAGATCACTTGCATTTGAGGGATAATACAGCTTTGTGCCTACATCTCCAGCTAAAATTCCTGCTGCCAGCAGCATGCTGTGTGCAGTCTGTGCTGTGACAGTCACAGCCACTGGTTTTGTTCTCAGCTTAGTAGTCACTGCATTTCTACAAGATCATGGGGGAAGCATCTTCCCAGGCAGCTTCTGTAACTCTGTGTTCCACGGTGACGTGTCAGTAGCTAATGAATCCAGAGACAATACTTGGATCTTTCCTTATGGAAGTATTTACAATTGAATTGTGGTGGTGCGTCGTTCTCCTTCCCTATGCCTCTTCTCCTTCTGCTGCCATAACTTGGGAACATGCTGGGAAAAGGGATAAGTGTTTGTATTGCAAATGGATCAGTTTGCACAAGCCAGGAGTGATGGACAGGGGCAAAGAGCGAACCTAGATATGAAACCAACAATAATCACTGGTTTTATTGGCTACAAATGGGTGGTCAGAACATGGCAGCACTAAACAGCTGCTCAGCTTAATGGGCTTCAACATTTTAACATAGTAACCAGCGCAGAAGTTTGTTCAGGTGTCCTTCCCATTCCAGGAATTGGTAGCATTCCTCTTTTGATAGTGGCAATAGATCACCATTAGGTCAGGATTTGGGGCATGTTAATCTTATGTTGTGGGAAAAGCTACCCATTCTGGTGATGACAAAATAGCCCATCTATATCGTCAGACTTAAAAAAAAACATGTTTTCTTAAAAATTCTGAGTCTTCAGTTGTCAGGAGAAGGCAAATATGTTAGTTTAGATACACAGACACAGTACAATCTGGTCATTTGAATAATAAGATTTTTTTTAAACAAACTTTAGACAAGTGTGCAAGTGAAAGGAAGCAATAGGGCTTTCCACTAGATTAACTGAAAATACACTTAACTAATTAGAAACTTACAGCCATAAAACACTTACATGTTTAATATGAAATCTGATTTTAAGAACCCAACAAATTCTAGACTGCCTTATTTTCTGAGTGTATTCCAAGAAAAAGTAAACCTGGTAAGAGAAAGTTCATCTGTATGTAGCCAGGGCAGTAAACTGCAATAATGTAATAGTTTGTGAAGTTTCCTGAATTTTAAAAAGTATTGATTGTGAACATGAGAGATATTTTTCACTGTATATGGGAAAACTTACTAAAATACACCAAACTTTCTTACTGTAGTGCTTTTCTGTAGTGCCTATTTGAAAATAGAATGTACTACTCTGCTTTACAAAGCAATAATATAATCACCTCATTGTGTTACCACTTGAAATAGCGATATCCAAATATCATTGCAATGTAAGCAATAGGAAAGATTAGAATAAAAAAAAAAAAAAGGAATTAAAGAGTGCAAAACTAATATGTATTTACATACTCCTGGTCTTTCCTACAATAAGGAGGTCCTACTTTACCTTTTTTTGGTGTTAAACATATTAATGAATGGCCAACAAAATAGTTGATATGTAAAACACTGTGGAATATGAATGATGCATCTGAATGTGTTGTGGAAATATGCAACAGGAAATACTCTACAGAATGTACGAGCTGAATGAAAACAAAAGATTATTCCTGAGAGAGTCTTTCTACCCAACCATTTGTCATAAGTGTTTGAGGCAAATAACATGAAGTTTAAAAAATATCTCCTTGTCTTATATAGTCATAAAATCTGCAGATTGCTCCTAAGACTGCTGCCTTTTGGCAGGAATATGTGCCCTCTTGCTGCTCGTTGCCAGCAAGCCTCTTTTGGTCAGGATGGAACTGAGAGAATAAAGAGAGGGAGTCTCATGTGTGTTTCTTGCAAAATTCTTCACCTGTAATCACCACAATATATAGAAAATGCCATAAAGAATTCAGCAAGTGGTTTTATCAATGACATGAAAATGAGGCCTGTGATGATGAGGATTTAAAGGAGAACCAGTTTGAAATGTCCTGAACGTGTCAGAATAAGTGAGATTAGTGGAAGCAGCACTGATTTTTATGTAAAATAAGAATCTGGCCTGATATCTAATACAGGCATTTCATTCTCTCTGCATGGCCAGAAAGTTATTAATTAAGATACAGCTTCCTCAATTCTAATTTTTCATTTTCTGTGATTATTGGGAAAAGTGACTTAGTTGAAGAAAGTGTAACTCCTCACTTGGGAGTGTTTTTCTTTCCACATCTTCAGAGTAAGTAAAGTTGTGCTAATTACAGTTCTATTAATGTGTACACTAATATTTTAATTTTTCATTGATTAATCTGTTCTTCATGAGCTAATGTCCTGTCATACAAAGAGAAGTAAGATAAATATAGCTGTTATTAAAACTCTTTTGTAGAATTTCAGACCAGGTGAGAGCAATACATGGTGCATTTGGGGCAAAGGATTTGGATGCCTTTACATTTAAGATATCCAAAATCCTTAAATTGCCAGTCTGTGGTCCCTTCAGGCAAAGACAAGAGACAAGCATTTCAAACTGCTATGGAGAGGTGACTCTCTTTACTGACTGGATAGTTTAGAACAACTCAGAGTAAGATTCGTTTAGAATATAATTCTAACCATATTCTATAACCATTAGAATAAGGTTAGTTAGAAAGTTAAATACATGAGGTTGCAAGTAGTTGTAGTTATACTTTTCTCACAAAAGCTTGAGGCTCAACATCTGGCTTGGAACATTCTGTCTCTCTCCTGGTAGTGTGGAATCATTCTCTTTAGCTTGTATTTTAATTTATTGTCACATCTACATTTAAATATTGGTAAGTTCAAACAGGAAAACTTCTAAAGGTTTGTAGGGCAACTTTGAAAATGGTATTGGGAGACTTAGTTATATTAAAATGTACTAGAAAGTTTTCTTTAGTAGACTCTGCAAGTTTCTGTAAGGATCTCAGTGCCGTGTACTTTGGTTTGCAAATGTGCTCACTGAGGAGCCTGCAGGCCCAAGTAACCAGGCAGCAGGAGAGGTGCCAAGGTGTGCTGGGGCAGCACTCGAGGAGGAAGCCGTACATCTGTGATTCCGCTGCCCACTGTGCTCAGAGCTTAGTGGGAGCAGCAAGCCCTTCCTAGAAGAGAGGCAAATGATCACCAATCAGCTGTTAGTAATGTGTTTTCCCTCTGCCAGAGTAACTGCTTCCTGCTGCTGCCTTCTGCAGAGTTCCAACTAGTAGGCTTAAACTCTAATCTGGGAAAGCATAATTGCTCCAACAGTCACTGAAAAGCTCTCTGCCCTTGCTTGGGATGGTGTTTCATGTGCTTCTTGTATGAAAAATTCACCTTGTAGTCACTGTTCTCTTTTACTGTAGCTCAGAATTTTCCTGTATTGAAATGGAAGGAGAGGAGGCTCAAAACCACTTAGCTGCTTGGCTATGGAAAGAAGCTTACAAAGTTGGCATCTCTTTATTGATTAAGCAAGATGCAGGTACTGTGTTTAACATTACTGTTCTCCAAGGGGAAAAAAGAAAAGAGCTGCTACAAAGATCAGTAACTCTTCCTTTCTCAAATTCATGAAGCAAAGTTAGTCAGTGTCCTTTACTTCTTAATTTAGTTATTTAAATGTTCAGTGGAGATAGATAAGATGAAAGAAAACTCAGGAGGACATCTGTCTGAGTACAAGACGTTGATATAAATAGAGAGGCTGGGAAAAGTAGTTGTGAGTGTTCATTTTCTACTTCAGACAAACCAGTCAGAACAGAACTGTGCAGGAAAAGCACTGCCATAAGCTCTTGCTGAGGGAGAAACTGGGGCACAGCTCAGCACTGTTTGTTTTCATGTCGGTTTAGATAATAAAACACAGAAGGCTGAAAGGGAGATTTGATTTTACTATTGTTCAGAAACCACATTTTCTTCATTTGCGAGTTTCAGCTGTCCCTATGCTTTTACTATAACTTTAGGTATTTGCTTTTCTTTACATTTTTTTCCAACTGTATTTTCCATTTGGCATAATAAAAGGTTTAGAAGTCTAGAAGTGGAGGAAAAAGTGAGTGGCTTGCTGCAAGGAAGCGAAGTCTCTCATTCATTTATTTTCCCATTGTTTGGCAGGTGGAAAGCACAGATTTGCAGAGCTGAACTGGATCAGCTGAAGAAGTGGGGGAAGAGAAACAAAACAAGTACAGTACCAGTGAAAAGAGCTTCAGCTTTATCTTGCAGCATCACCACAGCAACCAGAGAACACGATCAGAAGAAAAGGCTAGAGCAGAGAAGGCGAAAGTGCAGCTTCTTACCTTTGGACAGAAGGCAGCAAAATCATTATGCAGAACAGAAATGGGTATCTGATGGTTCTAGACAAACTGTGGCAAAGGGAAGTGTCCCATCATTAACAGGAATGTGCCACAGTTCATGCACTGGAAAGGGGAGTGCCATGAGATCTGCTGAAGAGACTATTTCTGTGGCTGCATACCTACATGGGTTTGCACCCTTGCTGGGACTCAATTAGGTGGCTGTAGGCATCGGGGATCACCAGGTGTTGGATAGTGACCTTTATTCCATTTGGGGTGTACCTGGCACGAGAACTGAAAGACAGCGCAGATCTTTTTGAGAGACGCCACCAGAGTGAGCCAATCTGCACCCCTTCCCTTCTGTACCTGCCTGCTGTACCATGGGATGTCGGCAAAGCTCTGAGGAGAAAGAGGCAGCGCGGCGGTCCCGTAGGATTGACCGCCACCTGCGCTCTGAAAGCCAGCGACAACGAAGAGAGATAAAACTCCTCCTCCTGGGCACTAGCAATTCTGGCAAGAGTACTATCGTAAAGCAGATGAAAATCATTCACAGCGGTGGCTTTAACTTGGAGGCCTGTAAGGAATACAAACCTCTGATTATCTATAATGCAATTGACTCTCTCACGCGTATCATTCGGGCTCTGGCCACCCTCAAGATAGAATTTCACAATCCTGACAGAGCATACGATGCAGTGCAGCTTTTTGCCCTGACAGGCCCAGCTGAGAGCAAAGGGGAGATCACCCCGGAGCTGCTGGGGGTGATGAAGAGGCTGTGGGCAGACCCCGGCGTGCAGGAGTGTTTTTGCCGCTCCAACGAGTACCACCTGGAGGATAATGCTGCCTACTACCTGAACGACCTGGAACGGATCGCAGCCCTGGACTACATCCCCACGGTGGAAGATATTCTGCGGTCTCGGGACATGACCACAGGGATTGTAGAAAATAAGTTCACCTTCAAAGAGCTGACTTTCAAAATGGTGGATGTGGGTGGACAGAGATCTGAACGCAAAAAGTGGATCCACTGTTTCGAGGGGGTTACAGCAATAATTTTCTGTGTGGAGCTGAGTGGGTATGACTTGAAGCTGTATGAAGATAACCAAACAGTAAGTGCACCTTCTGCTCCTTGTTCTCTTTCCTTCTTTTCCTTCCTCCTTCATCAGTATTTGGTCTTTTATCTCCCCCTCCTTCTTTCCCTCCCAAGGCAGTAATCCCCAATCATTAGGAAAACCCAGAAGTTATGGTTCCTTTATTTGGATGGTTTTCCCCACTGGACAGAGTTAGTTATTTAATGTTACTTTTGGGAAATGGAGGCACTTTTTACATGTCAGCCAGTTTTTTAATTTTTTTGGTGCCTTTAGCTAAAAGTTTACATGGTTAACTGTTACTTCAAACACCACTTAAAAAGGTAGGCAGTAGTGACATCCTGGTGTACAGGGATGGTGCATTTGGATACCATGAAGGTCCTGGGAAATGTTGAAGATAAAATAATAGTAAGTAACAGTTTCCTCCCCCTTTTTTCCCCAGGATTTTCAAGAGGAATTTGGGATTAAATTAATATTTAAAATGAATTAAACATGTTTTTAAATTAATATGACATTTTCATATTTAAAATTTTCTTTGACTGTTTCTGGTTAAATGGCCAATTTGCCTTGTCCAAAGAACAGCCATTCCCATTTAATAGTCTTTAAAGTTGTTAGCTTCTGGTTTTCACAGCATGCAAACACAGCCATGGGAAATAGATGAATGCTTACAGATACACAAATATGTATTTGCTGTGACTTTCAAAGTGTCTGAATTAAGCTTCACAGGGGTTTTACTTGAATTTTTTTTTTTTTTTTGACAGCCTTGTAAAACATGCTGTTTAAGAGAAAGGAGTTTGTGGACAGGAATGCATGATGGCCCCTTTTGTGTTGGTATAGCTTATCACACATATGATATTTCCCTATTCTTATCTTCTGTAGTGACTTTACTGTTTATAAACAGTACTTCTATTTTCTTCTCTGTACTATTCTGATGAGCCATTCCACTGTCCGGTGCGTGGACTTACCCTTCACTATCTGGAGATTCTTGCCTTGACATTAGTGCCTTCTTATTGTAACAGATTTCTGTATCTGCTTTTTGTTTAGTAACCTGCTCTTGACATGAGCGAAGCATTGCCACTAATTATTTCTCCTCATTTTCAGACATATTAGGAAAAGCATTTTACATTAGACCCTGACTAGGAGTTTCTTGCAGTTCTTTTGACTTTCCTGCCTTACTGTTCAGATTTAAAAATCAAAAAGAACTACCCGAAAGGGAAAAAATCAATATACTCTGAAAAATCCTTATAAGCATTGGTCCATACAAGACCAACAATAGTACTTACATTGGTACATTACTGGAACTGCAACACTGAGACTGCCACTCATGAGAAAAGCCCTACAAATGATGGAGTTGCAGAGTGTAAAATGCTTCCTGGTGTAGTATCTGTGGTGAAGAGAACTGCTAAATAAAACTAGTCTATTGCCAAACATAACTTACTGCTTGAGAGAGCATGTAAGAATCTGGCTGATTTATAAACTGTGAAAGTTGAGCAAATGATCTGTATGAATATGAAAACTTCTGTGATCCTGTTGACAGAAGTGGAGAAATGCTATGCATGAACTCTGTCTTTATTGAAGATGCGTTAAAGTAATGATTGACAGATATGGTAAAAAATGAGGGGAAAACCAGTTCTGCACACTGTGGGTTCTGATTATAGCTGAGTCGTGAAGTCTGCTGAGGGTGAGATTGTTGTAGTGACACCAGTGAGCAGAACAGGGGAACAAAAATAATGCCTGAACTATCGGCTGCCTGGACAACTTTTCCTTTGTGTGACATTTTAAGTGACTAAGTTAAATTTATCCTGCCTGAAAACAAATAACAGAAGGGGAAGGCTGACTTTTTCAGGGGCTTTTGTCTTTCTCCTGCTATGCTTTATTCTGTAACATCACTCCTAGGAACAAAATCACCTGAGCTGACAGTTTGTAGACCTGGACAAACCAATATTTTTGCTTGTTTGTTGAACATATGTGATATTTAGCTGTTTACTAAAGAGAAAGATAAATGAAGAATTACAGTTCACTTTTTCCCTTCACCTTGTATACTCTGTCACTCTGTTCCAATATTTTTCCTGCTTATGTAGGGTTATTTGGAAATGTGATGTGTGTCTGGTTTCATTTCTAGAGTACCTTGGGAGGTTTTTCCCCTACCTAATCTAATAAATATAGCTTTATCATTTCATGCACCATGGCTAGTTAGCATGACTCAACCTGCTGCCTCTTCTTTTGACACAGTTGCAAAATTGTAAAATACCTTTGGATTGCTATTGATTTATTGTATGATTATTATTCCTGACCAGCACTCTGAGAAGGTTGCCTTAAGTTTTTATATCCCATGCTGATTTCTTCTCTATTATGTCAAATAAATTACTTGTCTTGTTTTTTCATGGTCCTTAGCAGCTGATTGACCCATTGTACCTTTTATTATATATTAAGATGCCATCTCTGGCCTTTGATAATGTTACATTATCAAGTAATAATTTTTTTTTCCTTCTTACATGTTGCATCCTGCACTTCGAAGGAATACCTAAGTGTTTTATCTTTATTTCATTTTCTCTTTAAATGAATGTGTGCTAGAGAGTGTCAAATAATCTGTACTCTCAGAAGTCACGGCTGCTGCCTGTCCCCATGGAAAGGATTCTTGGTTTCTTTGTGAGTGTCCCCATCTGTCCAGCTCTGTCCTGCTGTACAGTTCATAGATGGTTTTATTTCACAGCCTGTAGCTGCAACAGGGTTTGAGACTGAGAAACATGTCAAAGGTGCAACAATAAAGTACATAATGAACTGAGTTAAACAGGAGTGTGTGCCTGAGAATTCCTGAGGTCAGTAGTCACAAGAGATTCACATGGTGCAGGAGGTACCAAGTAAAGGTTGTGCAGGTCTAGAAATGGCACTGGTTCAGTAATAATATAAATATGGATGTTAGAGGAAAACTGCTTGCAGGTAACAAGTAATTTTTATTCCCTTTCTTATAGCCACTGCAAATGAATATAAAAATTAAATTTTAGGCTTTTAGAGGCTATTTTTTAATATCTTGTTAAAAGGAAGATGCAGATGAAAAAGTCAGAATGCTGCAGCAAACAGTGCAGGTTGGAGTAGGCCTCATGCAACACTAATTGCTGGGGTCATAATCAAACCTCTCAATTATCTAATAATGACTGGGAAGCCTTCTGTCATGTTAATTGTATGAATTTTGAACAGAAATCCTGTTTCTGTAAGAAATTTTTTTATCAAGTAAACAACATTGGTAACAATGATTGATCAATAGCCAATTTGCAGGTTTTTTACTAGATATTCTTTCAAGTCTGAATATTTATTTTTGTTTACATTGTTCATTACAATTGTATGCTTCTTATGTGAATATTCTCACAGAGAACACATGGGACAGCAATTTTTCATATTTTGGATTTGTTGCCATACCCTGAACTTTACATTCTATGTAACTTCAGATACTAACAGTAATTTTGTATGCAAATAATTCTGTCTGTATGTTCACTAAATTATTTCCTCTAATTGGAAAAAAACCCCCAATAAATATTATAATGTGCCACACTACAGAATAGAAAAAATAGACTCACTCTAATGGCATTGTATGATTGCAGGAAGATGCTGGTATCAGATTGTAAAAGCCTGGGAAGCTTTGCTGTGAGGCTTATCTATTTCATGTCAATAGACTAATCCCTAAGACAACCCTGTATTTAAACGTACAGATAAATATTTCTGTCACTATAGAGCAGTAGAAGAAATGCACAGAAATGCACTTTCTGGGGCATGCACTTCTGGGGCATGCACTTCTGCAGTAGAAGAAATGCACTTTCTGGGGCAAAACCAGAAAGACTTTTACCTGTTTTGGCAAACCATGGCACAGAATGAATGGACCTACTGGGCAGTATTTGCCTGCTTTGGTATCCAGGGCTAGTTGTCAGACTTACATCTGAATTAGATGACTGAATTTTCTGACGTATTTAGGTAACAGCAGGCAATGTAAAATCCCCCATGACAAATGCCTGAGAGATGATGTAACTCCCTGGTTTTGGTCTCTGTGACTGGCTCTATTCAAAAGTACTAGGTATGGTGTTTTGCTGTGATTTTTAAATGAATTTCAAGCATTACAGCACTAAGGTAAGTAAAACATTGGGGCATCAGGAGTGGCAGAATGCTCCTAAATATCCTATGAACTTCAGGCTCAGAATAGTTCTTAGGTGGAAAGACATGGGCACTGACAGATGAATAAACAGAACTTAAGTTAAAATCTCAGTGATCCAGTAACACTGCTGCTCTTCAAACTATAAAAGAAGGAAAAAAACCCAAGCAAAACCCAGCTGAATTCCAGGACATGTAGAGGCAGTAAAGCTTGCTCTGTAAGTGCAGGGTTAAAGCAGCCACCAGCATAGTACACATGAATACAAGGCACCTGTCAAGCACTGGGAGAACTGTAATGAGTCAGAAAGCCACAGCCACTGACAGGCAGAGCAGCTGATCATACACACTGGATAATATCAACTGGATAAAGAATTGGTTTGTGAAGGAAAGAACTCAATGTCTCTGCCTCTCTCAATGCGGGTGGAAAGCCATGAACATCTCAAATATATTGTATGGAAAGATCCAAGTGAAATTGGAGAATTGGTTATAGCAAGCAAGGAGTTAGAAGAGGAATACACCAGAGCTATACAAGTTTTTTCAACAGCATATTGTCATTTTCATGTGCAATTCTCTAGATGACTCTATTGCAAATCATTTCCTTAAAAGCAAGCTGTAAATTTGCCCTCAAAGAATCCCTTGAACAGTAAGGCATGACACATAATTTTAGGGCTGTGAGGCACATGTGACAAGCCTGGCCTAGCCTGATGAAAAATATGCTTCTTGGACATGTAGAGGTTTAATCTTCAGAAGTTAATTAGATTCTCTGAAACTTAATGCATATGAAGTAGAGCTGCACAGTTCAGGCAATCAGTTTTACTTCTTTGTGTTGAAAATCTGTAGCTTTTAATGTGAACTTAACAATAAACTGAGCAACTTTTAAA